GCGAGCAGCGGTGCCTCCACGACGTGACGGATGCTGTGGGTTTTTTAAGGTTAGGTAACGTGGAGTGTCAGAGTGATTTTTGTTTCTCAGCGCTGTGTGTTTGACATGTTTGACATGTTTGTCATGTTTGATAAGCAGGTGATGGGTGTGGCGGTAGTAGGATGCAGTGAGTAGGCGTGTGTGTGTGTGTTTGTGTGTGTGTGTGGTTATTAAGGCCGCGGCAGTCAGGAGTTTTCATTCCACACCATGTCTCTCTCCAGTGCAGCTTGGGCAGTGTCAACTCTGCTGGTTCTGCTGAGTCAAGGTAAGAACCGCACGGTCATGCTTCAGGTGTTTCACCTCTTCATCGTTCTAAATTACTAAAAAAAAAAAAAATACTAAAACGGTGGTTCCTGTCCAGAGCTGGGACAGCGACTGCAGGTCGGCTCTTTTAGCTGCGCTTGACCTCACTAAAGGTCAAGAGTTACTCTGGTCTGTAGACCGCCGGTCCAGAGGATCCTGGACGGTTCTGAAGGTCTAACGTCCTCTGAATTGGCAATGACTTTGGAATCATTGATAAAAAAAAAAAAATAAAAAAAAAACACGGGGCTGTTGCTGGTCTGGCTCTGGTGTTTTCATCCTTTCATCTTGGACTGACTGAAGTGAAGCCACAGACGCTTCCAGAACCGTCCTCAAACTAACTGTCTGTCGTCCTCCGACGGCTTCTTTCTGTCCAACAAAACTAACTGTCTGTCGTCCTCCGACGGTGTCTCCTCTCCTTCTTTCTGTCCAACATTTTTTTTGCACGTATTCATGGATTATAATGTCAACTTTTGATTTTATAATTTGACAAAGGAAACGTTTATTTACATGTTTCTTTACGTTGTGGAAAAAAAAAAAATCACACTCCAAACTCACCCCTCCCTGTGTGGCAGCTGGGGGTGGGAGGGTCGCCGGTTTGAATCCCACCTCGTGATACCTTCCCAGGCTCTTCTGACAGCAATTAATGCGTTAATGTGTGTGAGTGTGTGAGTGTGTGTGTGTGTGTTTATAACTTATTATTATTGTTATTAGAACAATTATCATAACAACAGCAGAGTGATATCACTGACACAGAATTATACGTGAGTGTGTGAGTGTGTGTGAGTGTGAGTGTGTGAGTGTGTGTGTGTTCCTCACGCTTCAGGTCCTAAATAAATAACTATAGCCATGCATGTTAGTTAGTTAGTTAGTTAGTTAGTTAGTTAGTTAGTTAGTTAACAGTTAGTCCGTTTCATTAATATGGAGATTAGACTTTTAGTATATCATATACAAAAGTATTTAGTTAGTTAGTTAGTTAACAGTTAGTTAGTTTCATTAATATGGATATAGTGTTTTATTGGCACAGTCAATGTTGTATTTGTCACACACACACACACACACACACACGGGCATGTGCCCCCACACAGACACTGGATTAACCAGTCTGAAACATGAAGGGAACATAAAAACATTTTCACACACAGACAGAGAGACATTTGAAAAAGTTAATAATAGTTTGGGTTTAGCACAGGACATTATATACACGCCTCATATTGTCTCACCCACCGCATCAACACGAACACAAACACAACCAGCGAACGAAGACGACCGTGCTCTCAGCACCCCCTGCTGTTCGAATCTGTGCATGGTATACAGGCCGCGAACATCACGTCCGCTGATCCACATACAAAACACAGCGTTGAGGCTCAGTGAAATTAGCTCACAGATTAGATTAGATTAGATTAGATTAGATTAGATTAGATTAGATTAGATTAGATTAGATTAGATTAGATTAGATTAGATTAGATTAGATTAGATTAGATTAGATTAGATTAGATTAGATTAGATTAGATTAGATTAGATTAGATTAGATTAGATTAGATTAGATTAGATTAGATTAGATTAGATTAGATTAGATTAGATTAGATTAGATTAGATTAGATTAGATTAGATTAGATTAGATTAGATTGAATGTATGTATGTATCCTACACTGGTGAAAATGTTAAAGTTGAATATTAAATATATAATTCTTGTCTTTCAGAGTCACAGGCCCAAATCAATGGTAAGTCTCATTTTGGTACAATTTGTAAAAAGAGTGAACATGTTTTTGTTTTTTTTACTACCTTATTGCCGCTGTTGTTTTCATCCAAAGTCCTTTTTTTGTTTCTGTCAGTTTGTGGTAAAGCAGCGCTCAACACCAGGATTGTCGGAGGAGCGCCGGCGCCTGAAGGCAGCTGGCCGTGGCAGGCCAGCCTGACTCAGGGCAGCCACTTCTGTGGAGGATCGCTCATCAACAACCAGTGGGTTCTGACGGCCGCTCACTGCGTACGAAGGTGAGGCGGTGGTTTGGCCTCGTGGTTTGGCTCACTGAACCGATGTCACAGCCCGAGTGTTCACACTGACGCCTGTATGAAAGTGACCTGACACTGAAAAACTTTTCCGGAACAATCTAGGTCACATGTGGCTTTTCTTTCTTTCTTGTTTCTTCCACTCGTCCTCACAGCGCTGACCCAGACGGCATAGTGGTGTTCCTGGGCCGCCAGTCACAAGAAGGATCCAACCCCAACGAAGTGAGTCGGACAGTGACGCAGATCTTCAATCATCCTGACTACAGTACGACCACACAGGACAACGACATCTCCCTCCTGAAGCTTTCCTCGCCGGTGTCCTTCACCAACTACATCCTGCCCGTTTGTCTGGCAGGATCGAAAAGCGCCTTTCACAACGGAACCGACACCTGGGTCACCGGCTGGGGGACCATAGGAAGTGGACGTGAGTTAATCTTTCTCTGGATAAGGATGTGGTATTTTTGATATAAATCTGAACAAACGAGGGAATCCAGTTCATCCGTTCTTTTGGCGAACACCACTTTCATGTTTAGGTATTATTTCCTTTTTTGTCTCAACACTAATGTGTTTCTAAAAAACAGTGCTCACTCTTTTAGGAACCATAATAAGGGATACATTTAATGAAATTATAAAAAAACAAAAACAAAAGTAATGTTAGAGTTACGCTAACGCAGGTGCGTGACAACTTTTTGACTCGCGGGCCACAATTGTCCTTAAATTGAACAGGCGGGCCGGGTCAGGAGCAGATAGAAGGATCGTTCGTGCAAGCTAGGATAAATGACATGTAAAAGTCACGCATGAAGACTAAATGCTAAAATGCTTTTTAGCATTCAAAATTTTCTACGCCATCTATTAGGGAAATGTGGGTATTGCAGGGAAAAGGCAAAAATATAAGAATATAAAAAAAATTTAATTTGGAAAAATTTGACGGTTCGGATTAAAAGCTGAATGGGCCATATCCGGCCCCCGGGCCTTAGTTTGCCCATGCCTGATCTAGATGTTCATGATACTGAGGCTAAATCGGACACACATCAGATGATCCACATGTGCTTTAGAGAATCACTGCAGTTAAAATCTCCTCTTGTTGCTGTCTTTTCAGAACCTCTTCCTTCACCAAAGAACCTGATGGAGGTAGAGGTTCCGGTGGTGGGGAACAGGCAGTGCAGGTGTGATAAAGGAGTGGAGACAATCACGGACAACATGATCTGCGCCGGACTACGAGCCGGAGGGAAGGACTCCTGTCAGGTGGTTGTTTGTTCCACGTTGTTGTTGTCCTCGTTGTCCGTTTTAGCCTCCTTAGCTAATTCTGTCCCCTGACCGCTTCACCCGTCCACAGGGAGACTCCGGGGGTCCACTGGTGAGCAAACAGGGTGGACGCTGGGTCCTCGCGGGGGTGGTGAGTTTTGGAGAAGGTTGTGCTCGGCCAAATTCGCCAGGAGTCTATGCCAGAGTCTCACGCTACGAAGACTGGATCAAGAGTCACGTCAACGTCAACGAGCCGGGCTTCTTCACTTTCACCTCCAGCGGGACAGACGGAGACCTGAGTGTCACCTGCCCTGGCCTCCCGTCACCTCCGACCGTCCCTCCCACCACACCCAAACGTGAGTAACTGAATGACATTCACACTGTTGAGCCCTGTTGATCGGCTGCTTCATTCATTTGATTGGACTTTGCTGTGGGACAAGGTTAAAAAAGTCGGTTTGTGACGTAGTTACACGGCAGACAAACGGAGGACAAAGTGTGAATGAAAATGTTGGATGACGACTGCGTGTCTGGACTTGACGTTCTCTCCTGTCGCTCATCTCGGCAGCCGTGGTCTGTGGCCAGGCCGCCATGAATTCTCGTCTTGTGGGTGGAGCCTCAGTGACATCAGCCGGGATTTGGCCCTGGATGGCAAGTCTGCAGAAGAGCGGAACCCACGTGTGCGGCGGGACCTTGGTGGCAGTGGATGCCGTGCTGAGCGATGCTAACTGCTTCTCGGGGTGAGCAGCAGAAAATGTCATGCTAACTGCTTCTCGGGGTGAGCAGCTGAAAATGTCACAGACGCGACATTTCTTAAGCCATCTTAACCATAACAACCGTCATAGCAACTTAGCTTCAACATAACATTTTAGCTTCATGCTAATAATGACAACTAACAATTACTGTCACTGAAACATTGTTAAATAACAAAGCTAAAACCTTGCGCTTGCAATACCATCTATTAAACAGCCCTTAATGTTCATGCTAACAACATTAGCCTACAACAAAACCTACAACAAATGTGCTGCTAATAACTGTGTTACGCAGTAACCAGCGGATTAATGCTAACAACACAACAACACACTCTGTTAGCTTCTTGCTAGAGTCGATCTCAAAGACCCGTTAGCTCTGAGCAGCTACGACATAAATCATGTCCAGATGTTGATGTTTTTCTAGTCAGCTGATGTCTCCAGTGAGGACAGTTCTTTAACTGGGTGGAGCCTAATGAATAATACGGGAACTGGAACTACCTTTTTTCCAACCAGTTCCACCAACGCCTCGG